TCTGGCTCCGGTGTAGAGCAGCTGACCGGTGCCGACTGGACACACGCACCACTGGCTTGGTGCGAGGAGCAGGAACAGGCCGGACCGGGCTGGAGACGCGCACCACTGGCTTGGTGCGAGGGGCAGGAACAGGCCGGGCCGGGCTGGCGACGCGCACCACTGGCTTGGTGCGAGGGGCAGGAACAGGCCGGGCCGGGCTGGCGAGGCGCACCACTGGCTTGGTGCGAGGGGCAGGAACAGGCACGGGCCGTGCCGGACTGGACACACGCACCACTGGCTTGGTGCGAGGAGCAGGAACAGGCCGGACCGGGCTGGCGACGCGCACCACTGGCTTGGTGCGAGGGGCAGGAACAGGCCGGGCCGGGCTGGCGACGCGCACCACTGGCTTGGTGCGAGGGGCAGGAACAGGCCGGGCCGGGCTGGCGACGTGCACCACTGGCTTGGTGCGAGGGTCAGGAACAGGCCGGACCGGGCTGGCGACGCGCACCACTGGCTTGGTGCGAGGGGCAGGAACAGGCCGGGCTGGCGACGCGCACCACTGGCTTGGTGCGAGGGGCAGGAACAGGCGGGACCGGGCTGGCAACGCGCACCACTGGCTTGGTGCGAGGTGCAGGAACAGGCACGGGCTGTGCCGGACTGGAGACAGGCCGGACCGGGCTGGCAACGCGCACCACTGGCTTGGTGCGAGGGGCAGGAACAGGCCGGGCCGGGCTGGCGACGCTTACCACTGGCTTGGTGCGAGGGGCAGGAACAGGCCGGACCGGGCTGGCGACGCGCACCACTGGCTTGGTGCGAGGTGCAGGAACAGGCCGGGCCGGGCTGGCGACGCGCACCACTGGCTTGGTGCGAGGGGCAGGAACAGGCCGGGCCGGGCTGGCGACGTGCACCACTAGCTTGGTGCGAGGGGCAGGATCAGGCCGGACTGGGCTGGCGACGCGCACCACTGGCTTGGTGCGAGGAGCAGGAACAGGCCGGGCCGGGCTGGCGACGCGCACAACTGGCTTGGTGCGAGGGACAGGAACAGGCCGGACCGGGCTGGCGATGCGCACCACTGGCTTGGTGCGAGGGGCAGGAACAGGCCGGGCCGGGCTGGCGACGCGCACAACTGGCTTGGTGCGAGGGACAGGAACAGGCCGGACCGGGCTAGCGACGCGCACCACTGGCTTAGTGCGGGGAGCAGGAACGGGCCGGGCCGGACTGGCGACACGCACCACTTGCTTGGTGCGAGGAGCGGAACTGGGTTCCTTTATTAACCCCCGCTCCTTCTGCTGCCTAACCAGCTCCTCTCGCCGTGCCTCTACACTTTCCTTCTCCCTTTTAGCCTCCTGTAGCCTCGTCATCCACCCCATGTGCCCCCCACAAAAATGTTATTGGGGTTGCCTCTCGGGTCTCCGTCGTCGGCACGGTTGGCGCCATTTCACCTCTCCTGCCTGGGCATCTACCTTCGCCCATGGCCCTTTCCCCGCAAATATCTCCACCCATGACCACCATTTGCCCACCTGTGACATGGCTATTCACTCTTCCTGGGCACGCTGCTTGGTCCTCGTTTGGTGGGATCTTCTGTCACGTTTGTTCATAGACGGGTCAGACCAAGGCGCAGCGTGATATGCATACATGTTTATTTGAACCGAATAAACAACGACAAAAACAACAAACTAACGAGACGTGAAGTCCAAGGTACACAAACAACATACCTCACACGGAACAAGATCCCACAACCCACTAGTGCCAATAGGCTGCCTAAGTATGGTCCCCAATCAGAGACAACGAGCGACAGCTGCCTCTGATTGGGAACCACACCGGCCAACATAGATCTAGACATACTAGATCGAAACATAGAAAATACAACATAGAAAATCACAACAAGGAATATACACACCCTGACTCAACATATAAGCGTCCTCTGAGTCAGGGCGTGACATCTTAATTCATTATCATTCATTTGCAGCTCTTCACTTCGAGATGTCTGGGAGTATGAGAGACCATCTAAAATCATCTAAATATATTTAATGAATATCAAACAAATTAAATTAAATGCATGTCAATACACAATAGTATTAATAATAATATTCCAATATTTAGTTCTACTCAGTGCATCAATCCCTGGAGGTCACTAATATCCAGGGTCTCCGATACTGGACGCACTTTAGCCGTTTAAAAGCATTACATTCCTTGATCTGTATCTGCTAAAGGAATTTGGCTGTATATCCAGGTCTAAACGAGCAGGCTTGGCTAGCCACACAAGCAATGTAGTGTGAAGGCCACCATAGGAAAGATGGGAAGAGTCCAGTGAATGAGAACAAAGTCATGTTGCCCAGAGAGTAAAAACCTGGTTGGCACCGACACACAGCCTGGTGCTATACCAAACAGAACAGAGTGATATTCCCTCCAAGGGAGCTACACTTCAGTAATAGCCTTTGCTGTTGGTGTGTAGTATACAACACCATTCACAAATGTATCAGGAAAATAAATCACCTGGTTATATAATTATACTGTTGGCTTTTTGCATTGATTAAATGAATGACGAGTTCATTAACTCTAGCATGTCGGATGGAACCTTAGTTGCCATAGACGCACATATACTTCTTGTTGCTATAGTAAATGTCAGCTATGGTCAAACAGATTTCCACAATACCCCCTTTTCTCAAAAAGCAATCATCTATCATTTAAAGGTGTGTGTGCGGGCGTGTGTGTGTGCACAGGCATGTGTGTGTGACTGTGTGTGTGTGCACGTGAGTGTCTGCGTGTTGGGGTTCTACACCCTTCTACCAACCACTACTATCCAACTCCTAATTTCTCCTCAGTTAAAAAAAAGCAAAGACTATATGTGTAAAGGTCTCCATCCAGCATTATGATTCGAATCACCTTTGTTTAAATTCTGCAATGGTTCTGGCCAGAGAAAAAAGCTATCCATCCATGTCTTTCATGGTCTCTCAGTATTCAGTCCTTTTTCTGGGATTGCTCCGGAAGATTTTTATGCTGTATACAGCATGGGTGCTGCGTTCAATTATGAATACCTGAACAGCCAAACATTTCCTGCTTCGATGCAAAAAATAAAATTATCCATGAAGGCCTGGGGTTTAAGCCTTGCAGACAGATTCATTGAAGCCATGCAGTGAAAGGTGTTATCTACATTCTCCATGTGTTTATTTAAGGTCTGTGTTCCTTTGACTTGATTTGCAATTCTACATTTTATGGCACTGCAAAAAAACATTACTTGAGGATTGTGGGTGGGAAATGCATTTGTAAATTCCTTTTATATTATGGTGGCAGAAGTTGGTGTGAGCTGTTGTAACTTCTCAAGGGATATGTTCTGTGATGTTATGCCTTTCATTGACTCCTGGCATGTCTGCAACCCCAACACAAGGCCATGGTGTTCCAGAACTGTATAAAATAACTGTTGTGTAAACAATATGATTGTATTATCCCCTCCCACTACATAAGGGACATGTAACCATTCACTCTTCGAGTTCTTCCCTGTGAAATCAGAGATAGATCTCCCCTGCACCTGCTTGATCAAATATTTTTCTATTATACAATTAAATAGACTCTTTGGATAACATTTTCCACAACAATATGAAACCGTTGGTATTAATCGATCTTTTAAGTTTCCATTAACTCAGTACATTTGATTTCTATTGTCACACCAGCCTTCGCTTTGGCTCCCCTTCCTGTCCAGCTCAGGCGTTCGGCGTCACCGGCCTTCTAGCTGCTGCCGAACCTGCTGCTGGAAAATGCCCTTCACTCATCAACCCCAGACTTGTCTCGTCATCATTACACACACCTGGTTCCAATCCCCACTCTATCACTGTATTTACACTCCCTCTGTAATTTGTCTTTGTCGGTCATTATAAATGTTACTTGTTTTCCTGGGTCGGTCATTCTGTATATGTTGCTTGTTTTCCTGAGAGGAATCTCTCCTACTATTTCCTGAGTACTATATATTTTGCACTGTGGGTTTTGTCCCGCTTTAAGCTATGGTGCTTTAATAAATGCTGTAGTTCTAAACCTGCGACTGCCTCCTGCCTACTCCTCTCTACACTTGTGACAGAATGACCGACCAAAGAAAACAGGAAGCAGCAGGACATCCCGACCTCTCCGCTGTAGGAGCGAAGCTCCTCCACCATGACTTGTGCCTGGAGCGCCTCGGGACTGCCATGGACGAGGTGCTCCGTGCCGTACGCCAACAGCAGGCTACACCACCACCTTCCCAGCTCCCCGCGGTCGTTACAGCCACCCCACCACCATCTACATCACCCGGTCCGATCAGCAACGTCCACCTGCCCCTCCCAGAGCAGTTTGACGGCACCCCAGCTTACTGTAGGGGGTTTCTCCTGCAGTGTGACCTCCACCTTGCCCGTCATGCTGGGACGGCCTCCAAGAGGGACAAGGTGGCCTTGGTGATCTCGGTGCTGACAGGCCGGGCTCTGGAGTGGGCGCACGCCGTCTGGGAGAGGGACGGTCCAGAAGTGCAGTCCTATGAGCGCTTCACCCAACTCTTCCGTGCCGTCTTCGACCACCCAACAGAGGGCAGAGAGGGAGGTGAGCGTCTCCTCCGTCTACACCAGGGGTCCAGGACAGCGTCGGAGTACGCTCTGGATTTCCGTATGGTGGCTGCGTCCACTGGCTGGAACGATCAGGCCCTGTTGACGGTTTTCCGCAGCGGGCTACAGGCGGAAGTCCAGACCGAGCTGGCCTGTCACGATGAGGACCTCACACTGGACCAGCTCATCGCCATGGCCATCCGCCTGGATAATCTCCTGCGTGCCCGTCGTCACCCATCCTGGGGGTTCGGGTCTCTCCCAGGAACCTCTAGCGAGACTGAGCCCATGGAGGTGGGCACGACGCACCTTCCCCCTGCGGAAACTCAACGCCGCCATCAACAGGGTCTCTGCACCTACTGCGGGGATTCGGACCACCCCTGGAACACCTGTCCCAGAAGGAGAACCAGGCGAGGAAGCAACAGGCCGAGGAGCGCTCCTGCACCTTCCCAGGTAGGCATGGACGTGCCTTGCTCCTCTCTGTCCACCCAGCCCGTCCTCCTCCCTGTCACCTTCCCTGACTATCCTGGTCCCCCACTGAGTCCTGCCCTTGTGGACTCAGGTGCTGCAGGCAATTTCCTAGACCAGTCAGTGGCCTTATTGTTACGCATTCCTCTAGTCCCTTCACAACCCCCTATCCCAGTCCATGCCCTAGACAACCGTTCCCTAGGAACAGGACTGGTGCGCCAGACCACGATTCCCATTTCCCTCACAGTTAATCACAACCACCATGAACGCATCACTTTTCTCATCTTAGTCTCTCCTGCACACCCACGTAGTTTTAGGTTTCCTTTGGCTACAGTTGCATAACCCCAGTATATCGTGGACAGATAGGAGGTTGTTGGGTTGGTCGCAGGGGAGGTGTCTCTCAGTGTCAATCTGTGCCACCTCCGTGAAAAGTCCGGACCAGGCCACCCACGTCCATGACACAGAGGATCGGAGGGAGGAAGTGACACCCATTATTCCCCTGTCCCGATCGAGGCTCCTGCGGTGGACAATTGGTTCCGGTGCACCGATGAGGTATGGAACACAGCGCACACCTGTCTCCAGCGCGTCGTCCTCCGGCAGAAGGCGCAGGCGCAGGCCGATCGTCACTGCGGTGTGGCTCCGGTCTTTCACCCCGGTGACAGGGTCTGGCTTTCTATGAAGTACGTGCCCCTCCGCCTGCCCTGCCAGAAGCTGAGCCCGCAGTTTGTGAGGCCATTCAAAGTCCTGAGGAGAATCAATGAGGTGACGTGCAGATTACAGCTCCCCGTCAATTACCGTATCTCACCCTCATTTCATGTATCTCTCCTCAGGCCAGTGGCAGCTGGTCCCTTGGATGTCGAGGGAGCCCCGGGGGTCCTCCGTCCGCAGCCTGTTGGACTCAAGGCGTTGTGGGGTGGTCTCTCCAGTACCTGGTCAACTGGGAGGGGTACGGTCCCGAAGAGCGGTGCTGGGTTCCAGCGCGGGACGTCCTGGACCGTTCTCTCATTCGGGATTTCTACAGGCGTCGTCCCGACCGACCCGCACCGCGTCTCCGGTGTTGTCCCCAAGGTCGGCGGTGCCCCGGGGGGTACTGTCACACCAGCTTTCGCTTTGGCTCCCCCTCCTGTGCAGCTCAGGCGTTTGGCATCGCCGGCCTTCTAGCTGCTGCTGAACCTGCTGCTGGCAAACGCCCTTCACTCATCAACCCCAGACTTGTCTCATCATCATTACACACACCTGGTTCCAATCCCCACTCTATCACTGTATATATACTCCCTCTGTCATTTGTCTTTGTCAGTCATTGTAAATGTTACTTGTTGGCATTGCAGCTAGCCTAGCTGCTAGCTAGCAGCATATCAAGCTAGCTGGGTTTTCTTGAGGGCTTGGTTAGCCATTGTGGCTGGGACCGCAGATTGTCCCGGGTTTGTGGCTGTCTAGATCTCTGATGTTTGTTGTTTTCAATCTTCCCTGTGACCTGCCCTGTTTTGAACTGCGAGGAGTAACAGCGTAACCTACGTTGCTAGCTAACATGACAAAGACCAAAGCCAGCGGGAGTACCGTTGTCAAGGACAGTGGTGTCTCTCTATCACACGTGAAGCTTTTAAACAAACATTTTATTTATTTATTTTTTACCAATGACCTGCTACTGGCATTAAACAAAGCATGTGTGTCCATGTATGCTGATGATTCAACCATATACGCATCAGCAACCACAGCTAATGAAGTCACTGGAACCATTAACAAAGAGTTGCAGTCTGTTTTGGAAAGGGTGGCCACTAATAAACTGGTCCTGAACATCTCTAAAACTAAGAGCATTGTATTTGGTACAAATCATTCCCTATGTTCTAGACCTCAGCTGAATCTGGTAATGACTGGTGTGGCTGTTAAACAAGTTGAGGAGACTAAATTACTTGGCGTTACCTTAGATTGTAAACTATCATGGTAAAAACATAGAAATGTAATGGTTGTAAAGAAGGGGAGAGGTCTGTCCGTAACAAAGAGATGCTCTGCTTTTTTGACACCACACTCCAAAAAGCAAGTTCTGCAGGCTCTAGTTTTGTTAAATCTTGATTATTGTCCAGTCTGTGGTCCAGTGCTGCAAGGAAAGACCTAGTTAAGCTGCAGCTGGCCCAAAACAGAGCGGCACGTCTTGCTCTTCATTGTAATCAGAGGGCTGATATAAATACTATGCATGCCAGTCTCTCTTAGAGACTGACTGCATCACTTCTTCTTTTTATAAGAAACATTAATGTGTTGAAAATCCCAAATTGTTTGCATAGTCAACTTACACACAGCTCTGACACACACACTTACCCCACCAGACATGCCACCAGGTCTTTTCACAGTCCCCAAATCCAGAACAAATTCAAGAAAGCGTACAGTATTATATAGAGCCATTATTGCATGGAACTCCGTTCCATCTCATATTGCTCAAATAAACAGCAAACCTGGTTTCAAAAAACAGATAAAGCAACACCTCACGACACAACGCCTCTCCCCTATTTGACCTAGTTTGTGTGTATGTATTGATATGTAGGCTACGTGTGCCTTTTTTAAAAATGTGTGTAGTTCTGTCCTTGAGCTGTTCTTGTCTATTAATGTTCTTTATTATGTCATGGTTCATGTTTTGTTTGGACCCCAGGAAGAGTAGCGGCTGCTTTTGCAACAGCTAATGGGGATCCTAATAAAATACCAAATACCAAATACCTGTCTTGGAGCTCTAAGGACAATTCCTTCGACATGCACTGTCAACTGTGGGACCTTATATAGACAGGTGTGTGCCTTTCCAAATCATGTCCAATCAATTGAATATACCACAGGTGGACTCCAATCAAGTTGTAGAAACACCTCAAGGATGATCAGTGGAAACAGGATGCCCCTGAGCTCAATGTTGAGTCTCATAGCAAAAGGTCTGAATACTTATGTAAATTAGGTATCAGTTTTTTTTTTTTTAATACATTGGCCGGGAATTTGTGCAGTTGAGTCTGTTTCTGAGGTAACATGCACTCTTAAAAGAGTAGTTCACTATTTTACAACTTGATGTTAGATGGTTATTCACCCTGAAAGTTGTCTATGTGCCAGGAGAAGCTGTAATCCATTGTTCAGTTCTCTTTAAACAGCCACTACAAACTTCAGCTAACTTTAGCCACCACAAGCTAACAATCAATGGAAGTGATGGGGGAATGTGTTTGTTTAGCTAGCTAGCTAGCTAAGCAAACAATGTGTGTCATTTAGCTTGCTTCATCAGAGATTAGGCTTTTGGAAAGAGCTTGACATCAGCAAGTCCTCGTCCTGGTAAAGTTGTCAGTCGGACTACTGTCATTACCACTATAGATGGCAAGCAACTATAGCCATCTAGTTAATCCCCTGAAAGTTAGCTTGTTAACTAGCTATATTGCCATGACCTGTTATTAGCTAGCTAGCCAATTTGATGTGGTCCATCAATCAATGTAGCCTATCATGTCTGTCAGCAGCAATCATGATTAAACACTCAAAAACAAATCTTGAAAAGGGGATAATGTTAGCTAATTTCGCTAGGTAGGCCTACGTTGGTTGAAGAAAAAAGTGCATTAGGTCTACTTACCTTTATGTTTAGCCAACTGTACAACGTTTCTACCGGTAGCTTGCAAAGTAAACATTATCAGCTAACAGTACATTGGAAAATATGCCCTTCTGCTGCTCGACAGGCAGAGCCCACAAAGAATGGGAAATCAACCTAAATCACTCATACTTGTCAGGTATAGTTCACTTTTATTTTATATCACTCAAATATCAAATTAATGGTGGCCAGTATTGAGACATATCGTGAGGCTACCCTCACGTATCTGAAATTACATGATCAATTAATGTTTACTAATCATGAAAAGCATGCAGTTACTTGCTCTATAATTCTGAAGATAGAGCTAATGTGCGCAATTGTTTTGCATGGAATAATCAGACAATTTTAGTTCTGACTATGCTCTTCAAGAGGTGATGATATCATAAACAAATAGTTAACATTTATTTAACAATCCCTTGAAAACGGCACGCAATGGTTTTAGGGGAGCTGGGGTCTCCTTGCCCCCCAGCAGGAAAATCGAACGCTCTGCAAGTTATTGTGACGTTTTATTGATAACGACCTATTTGACTGGTAAACTCATGGGAACACTCGATTTTGGCTGCCTGGTATTGTGATGCAATCACTTCCATTGTAATGTAGAATGTTCATTCAAATTATGTTAACTGATGTGGCACATGCAATGGAATACATTTTTTGTAATGTCAGTTCAGTTGAATCAACAAATCACAGCACATATTGATGGGTACACTTCCTGCATTTACTTCCTGCTTTGCTCTTATGGGTACACCCGCAATGGCCGCAAGTCCACCCATTATGCCATCACTGACTTGAATGGGGTAGCCCATTCTATTTCTAAGGCAGCACATGCACTCAGAGCTGAGAAGAGGAGAAAATGTATGTCTTCGAATGGTTATTACAGTGACTGTGCTCATTTGGCTGGCCAATAACTGTCATTCAAAATTCCATGACCGTCACTGCCCTATTGATTGTTACTTATTCAGACTCTGTATACATTGTCTGAACTCAATTATTTCATTCCGAGTACAGACGTATTTCTGCTGCTTGTGTGTAGCTGAAGACTATCAAGAAATGTCTACCCAGTCATTTCATATATTGTTCAGAGAAAAGAGTTTGTGCTCAAACAACTGCTTGCTGATGCTGTTGACAGCAATTATAGAAAATAAATGTTTCATAAATGACAGATAACCCCAATGTTTTGGCTTTGTCCTTCAGAGTGCACTTTATCTACAAAAAGTATGCAGATTAGGACTTCAGTGTCATAAATGTGAAACTGAAGGGGAAAAAATTACATTGTTTGCATTTAATGGCCGTGCAGTCTTGGAAAAAAGAATGATAGCTGAAGTATGTTCCATTTGTTTGAGAGGTTCCAAATCACTGCACACAATGCTTTTACAAGGGTAGCTATAAGAAGCAGAAAGCTTTTTCAGAAGATCCACATTTTATGCACATAGAAAATATAAATATAAAACAAATCAAGCTTACATTCCCTTCAAATCGATTGGGTTAATACATTGGGTCTAATCTTGCTATGACATCAAGACTGGCACTGTAGTATCAATATTCAAAAAGTAAAGGGTCTTCAAGGACATTTCATGAATATCCTTACTTTATACAGTTATTACACTCATCTGCTGATGTAAAAAGGGCTTTATAAGTAAATTGGAATTTCATTTATGTATGTTAATTAGAAATGCAAACAAAGTACTTGCCTTTGTGCAAAGTAAATGCATCTATGCTAAAGTAATTATTTCTTAGACCGTTAAATCAGAACTTAGGATCTCTACATTAATTTGTGCATGACAGTGGATTCTCATATACATTAACAATATTTTTACCATTGCTACGTTC